CATTACGAAAATTTAATACAGATGGAATATTTACCAATTAATAATAATTCTGGACAACTTTACGGTTATATTGTATACAGAAAAACTAACCTATCCATTCCAGAGAATTCTGTTTTAAGGATAAAGGGTGCTGTTAAAGATTTTGCAATGATTTTAATTAACGGAGAATTAATTACAAAAACGTTAATATCAAAAGTGGATATTTATTCTTTTGGATTTTCCGAAGCGATTAATTCACATTTAAATATTCAAAAATCATATTCAAATGCAATTTTAGATATAATCGTCGTGAATCTAGGAAGAGCAAATTATGGGAATTTTAAAACTTTTAAAAATCAAAATAAAGGCTTAAAAGAAAATTCAATAACTTTAAACGACATCCCTTTAAAAAACTGGGAAATTATTCCACTTGAATTTAAAAAACAGTGGGTTAATAATTTATCAAATTGGACGAAACCAAAGTTTTTAAAAGGACCTACCTTGTATAAAGCTACATTAAATTTAAAGGAACCTTTCGATACTTTTGTAGATATGTCTAGTTGGCATATGGGAATTGTAATTGTTAATGGATTTGTTTTATCACGCTATTTAAGATTGGGATCATCACAAACTATGTATTTACCTGGATCTTTTTTACGACGAGGTGATAATGAAATTATTATTTTTGAACATTTCACTCCGTATAAATACGTTTGCTTTTTGGGAGGGAAAAAGAAGAAACGACAAGAACCTTTAGATGTTCCAGTTTTTGTAGAAAATAATTCAAATTTCATTAGAGGTTGTAACAAAATAATTTTTTACTTTTACATATTGTTTTTGTTTAATATTATAAAGTAATTAAAATCTGTTGGAATAATAGTGTTAATTCATTAAAAGTTTAAATTTTTAATAAGTTTATAACTAAAAATATTGTAATGGAATTGATAACTTATATTTTAAAATATTTTTAGGTACTTTGAGTATGTTTATAAAAGCTTTTTAATAGTACTATAAGAGATAAAGTTAAGGTCGGAATGTGTAGGTCAATGAAGGAAGCTGGCAATGAACAATATGATTTACATTAGCAATAACTACAGGGGTAGACGGAATTTCATTAATAACAATCGTTGCTGATGGTGCTTGGGGTAAGTGATCGTATATTGCTCATTACAATCCATTATTTGGAGTGCTGCTAGGAATTGTGTATACACTATATCATACATATGATACAAAATATGCTCTCATAGAAAATTATATTGTTGTAGGGTTGTATCGTAAGATAGAAATAATCTAAAATATTATGTGGGTAATTTATGATCCATATGTGATACATACAACATTTTAACACTGAAGCAAGTAAAAAAATAACTAATTTATAATAACTTGCATATCTATTTACTATGGGCGAAATAATAATGCGACTCTCGAGGTAAACTATCTTTTAAAATCTTAAAAAATAACGGTTAATAAAAAAATCGTATTCAATTACATCGTAAAGGGTAAGCAAGGTATGCAAATATCAACTGAAGTCATATCTGGTTAACATAACAAGCCAAGAAATCGTTTCTTCTCTTCCGATCCATCTGTCTGGAAATTGTGCATTTAGATCGTTTCGACAATGTAATCCAAAGTGTGCTGGTGCACCATCATGTTTTGAAACAATAGTTTTTCGAATATTAAGTTATGAGAAGTTCATGTTATTCTGGAGTATGTTCCAGAAAAATGCTATACACATCTAACTGTGCAGGCTATAAAATGGTCCCACTACATAATTGTCAACAATCACAGGCCAAATATTAACAGAAAACTTCCATTGATGATGTCCATATTTGTCCAAGTAGGACAAATATGCCTCATCTGCTTATAATACACCCCGAGGAACTTTTGGTTCATTATTAAGTACCATTCGGAAAATTGAACTCTATTGGGATAATCAGCTGGATTTAACATTTGCACGTTGCATTCGTATTCTTTCAATACCCTCCATACAGATGTGTGACATGAACGCATCGTGCATCTTGGTACGAGTAAATGTGTTTGGGTTATTTTCAAATTGTTGCAGAATTTGGTCATCATAGTCAACATTTACGATTGCCTCCCGAATCTTTGGAACTCTCTTAGAATTGACCAGTATCTCGAATACGCTGATTCAATCTTGAAAATGAGGTATAACGGGGGATGTGACACTAGGATACTGCTTCGCATAAATTCACCTTGCTTTATTAGCAAGTTGAAGTTAATTTAAAAAAATACTGATATCCAAAAACATTTTAAATAAGTAATTAATTTTGTAACATATCTGTCTTGAAATTACATATACAATTTTATCAACCCCAATTACTCCACCACATTTAATTTCCTCCCACATTATTTGATGGTGTTAAATCATTTACTGTCAGTGGTACGTTAGCGCATTTAGTTTCTGCTTTGTTTTGTTGAAATTTGATACAGTATCTCACTCTAGAAGACTCTATGAATGTGTTAGGAAACGATAATGATTTTTCTATGATTTACCCATTAGCGTAAACTTTCCGAATCTCGGCCTGCGACCTAAAGCCGGCTTTTACTAACTGTTTCGGTCGGTTTTGTTTCTACTGAATTAGTTGGTAGAGGTCAGCTTTAGGTCACGTATAGAGATTTGGACAGTGTACCATACATTTTGTTATATCAGTATGGAGGGCCCTGTGAAAAATAAATAGGTATATTTAGATAGTATTGATGTTCCTCCGGAAGTAGACAAACTCGCGGGGGAAGAGAATATTGATGAAGATGTAAACCACCCAAATTTAGTGTTAATAAATCAGTATTTTTGATGGTTGTAATGCTCATTTCCTTTCTGGATTAAATGTCTGGCCTTCACTTCTTTTCCTAAATAAGTATCTGGCTTTGTATTTTTACCATACGTACACTTCAAAAGTCTAGCATGCTTGGAGTTTGAACACTAATTCTGGGAATAGTTATTGTGCGTATTATTTTGTAACAGTTTCCATTTTTGTGATAAGAAGATAGATGTGCATGATAAATATGTTGATATCTTTTTCCAGATGGTTTCATCGCTGGACTAGGCTCTGGAATATACAGTTCAACATGTTCATTTCGTTGTTGTTCTCTATCTTTCTTTGTAAGCCTAATCTTTCGTTCCAAAACCTACTTGCGGTAACGGACATGATGGAACCCCATCAACTACATCTGAGGCTTTGTTCCGTTTTGAACTTCTATGCTTCATTCAAATATGGGTATTACATTTTTATAACTACTGGTAGGTAAGTCCTAATATCGGCTACGTGTGTTATGGTAATGCGTTGGGGTCGACTTCCTAAAAAATGTAATGTGCCGCATCGTGCGGAATGACCCTATACTTAAATTTGAGATTAAACTGTCATTGTACTTTATTACAGATAGAATGCAAAAACCTGGTGATCCAAGTCATCCAAGTCAAAAAAACTGTTGCTATACATTTCTTCTGAAATATATTTTCGAACGTCTTCAATAATACTTTCTGTTTATATTTGTTTATTTATAAAATAAAAAGTTACTGTTTCAGAACTTAAACCTTTATAAATATTTCAATTGAAGTCCTTAACCTCTTAAAACTCCGACCGTTTCTTTCTTGTCTGAATTAATAATTACGTTAACTTAGAACTTTTAACGTTACCACAAAGTCTTCTAACTAGTATTTTTAAACTTTTTACTCACACCAACTTCTATACAAATTGAACCCCTATTTTTTTCCAAAATGTTAATTAAATAATTTTAAAGTTTAAATTGAGCTGATCTGTTGAATAAACTGAAATTACCTTAAATCCTTTTGCAAACTGCAAATTACTCCTCATTTTACTCCCTCATATAACAACCCTCCAAATATTTGAAGGTTGAATAAATTTAATTACGATGGCGGGATTTCTGGGATATGCAAAGGTACTATGACCTCGAGTACGCGAACCGGAAAGCTTCAGTTCTCGTAAGCTAAAGTCAGGTATGTGTGAAGTCAGCATTTGCATCCGAGGAACGAAATGCTTAGAATTCTTTCCTTTTACACCGGTTCTTTGGTGACGTTATTAAATTTGTGCTTCTTGATGTGTGTATGGAATGGAATATATATCTAGGTAGGTGTGGTTACTTTGTTAAAAATTAAAAAATATATTTCTTGAATGAATTTCACTAAAATTTCTGGGTAAATAAAAGACGTGATGCATTTATAAATGAGGAAAAATTCTAGAACGATGCTATTCTAAAATTATTATTGGTGTAGTGTCTATCGTTGAAGGCCAATAGACTCGAGAACTTTTAGATAGGATGCAAATTTCCCTAGAGAAATGATCGATCTAAACTTGGTTGCGAGTGGATTTAGTGTGTATAAAAATAAATTGTAGAATTTTTATAAGAAATAAATTTCCAATTTATTAAACTTTTAATTAATTTTTCGTTCTTAAATTAAACGTTTTAATATTTGTTAGAAACTGTCAACATAAGGCGGAAGTTTTAGGTATAAGATTAAAGTTTGTGGCAGACGAGATTTTTTCACATCAAAGTAATGGTAATGAGTTCATGCTGCACGCGCATTAAACTTTGTGATGAGCTGTTTGTTCATTCTGGGCTCCACTTAAAGCACGGACAAAAGACGCGACTTGAAGCGATTACCATAGCAAAGCCAAGTTTGTCCTCTGTGCCCTTCCCTGTCTTACTTTGTTACAAGAGACCAATAAACTACGATCCAGTGACGATATTACACCAAGACTTCTTAATTTAAAAAGCATTTTAATATTAAAAAAAATTGTTGATTTAATTACAACGTGCTGATACAACGAAAGATTCATGTGTATTTGAAAAGTTGTAAATAACCACAAAATCTAAAGATATATCGTTCGCAACGGCCATTTATCAATACAGGTTACCATAATTCCTTTTTTATGGCACTCTATTGGCGATATTTCTCAATAAACGCAAACGAAGTTCTCACCGTTTCCATCAAGTAACAAACCGTTACGACTATTTTTGAAATCACATATGAAAACACATTGCACGTTTTTTAACCTTTACTCATCTGAGATTATTTTCACATTTACAGTTTGTATATTTGTTCTTAAATTACATTTATCTTCATTACAAGAATCGCACATTAAAACATTTTCAATTTCGGAGATATAATCGCAAACATCGACTCCTTCATAAGAAAACGAGCAACTTCTTTCAATCATTTTCGAACCATATTCTACAAAAACCATAAAAAATTTGTATGTATTTTTTAGTTTAATAATTAAATTACTTACGTTCTATAATAAAGCTTACACATGAAGTTACAATTATCTCCGAATCATCATCATCAGAATCTCGTTTTATGTTTAAAGGGCTTTTAGCCGTTGTAACATTTCTTAAAGCAGCTCCGCATTCTTGAACGACCATAGCACGTTCTTTCCCCAATAGACAATCACTCTCCAAAGATCCCACGCACAACCAACATTTTAAGGCAAAACCTAAAGGTTTTAATTAAAATTTTAACTTATTAATACGAGATTAATAACTTACTTTGGTCTTGATAAATAATAGATTTTGTTTGTCATGTCAAAACTTAAAACTTATCAATATTGAGCGAACACCATGATTTAATTTAAGTTTTATCTAAGTTTTAACTTATTAAATCGGATTAATAACTTACTTTGGTCTTGATAAATAATAGATTTTGTTTGTTATGTCAAAACTTAAAACTTATCAATATTGAGCGAACACCATGATTTAATTTAAGTTTTATCTAAGTTTATTAATAATACTTTTTTAATACTTTTAATTTTTAAATTAAAAAGTTCAACGTAACGAAACTTACCGAAGTTTAAAGAAAACAAAATGAGAGAGAACACAGAAAGAACGATTTTCATTTTAATAACTTCGTTTACCTTGTGTTTTATTATAAGATAAGCAATTGAAATTTCAATAAGGCATGTATTCGAGATAAAATTTGAACTTGTTCTACACTTATCTTATCAGTTTTTTTAAATTTTTTTGTTCATGTTAGGCCTACCAATGGGTAATCCAACTAATATAGAATAAAAATCCTAACATAGGGAATTTCAACATCATTGTAAATCTTTTACAATCCATGGAATGTAAAATATATAAAACGTATTATTTTTGAAAGTAAATTCAGTCTAAATATAGTTTAACTGCGAAAATGTTTATAAACATTTTGAAATTCGGAATATCTCAATCGATTAAGTAACTGTAAATATTTATTTTGCTTTCTGTTATCAACATTAATAAATAAGTGAATGATCTTTAACATTTAGCTTTTTTTTATATAAAATAATATTTACGATACAGAATGATTTACAAATGTAAACCAATATTGAACTTGAACAAATTCATTCTGAAGTATAATTCTTGATAACTCACCATTTTTATAATGATAAACGAGGATGAGCGAAAGATATTACATAAAAAATCGTCCTTTCAACTAATAGGTTGTTCAAAAATGATTTTATAGATGTGTCAGACTGTGTGAGACTAGGTTAGACTATGTTAGAGATTCCAAATTATAGTAGAAGTCAATAGATTACCCATATTTACTGTAAACTCGAGTTCTAAATTTTCTGCTATTTCATCAATCCTATTTATATCTTCTTCACTTTTAAGATGTGGTCCACACTGTCTCCTCAGTTATCGGTGCTATTTTGGTAAGTCTTCGTTCAAAAGTTTGTTAATATCTGGAAAATAAAATGTTCTTTAAATTATAGCCCGTACCAATTGGATAGGGTTATGCTGACAATGATAGGGCGCTAAATCCAGATTTTCGCATCCCATTCCCTCCATAAATAGCTCCATTCTGCATAGGATAGGTTGATTTACTCATTCGCTTGTGGAAGTAATTCAATTTTAAGTGTCCTTTCTGTTATTTTCACAATTTGTTTTATTTTCACCTGGAAAATGTTGACTAAATTTTATGATATTAAACCTAGGATATTAAATGGGCCATAGGAAAAGCTGCATAATATGTTATGTTGACGACGCTGTAAAAATTGCTAACTCATAGGATGATCTGCAATAACAACTACACAGGTTCTATCATGCAAGTGAAGTCTTGAACATGGCTTCACAAGATGTAAGTTAATAGTCAAGAATATCCTCACCGAAGAAGTTATGAAATTTTTATACTTGGGTGTACACATTTCAAGCACTCAGGATTTCGCAAAGGACTTGTGCAGTTAAATCAACAAAGGGTCCGCAATTTCAACCTGCTCAGTAAAGTGCGGATGTACACTCTTGCGTAATAAGTAGTCCAATAATGATTTATGTCAATGAAATACGTGAAGATACAAACAAAACTAAGAGAATATTAAAAGGAGTGAAAATGATTACTCTTAGGGCAAACACCGGATGGGACAGAGTTAAGAACTTCGACATCAGAGATCAATGCAGGGTTCACAACATTGTGATATGGGGAAGACAGAGCAACATATTTTGGCACAACCACGTCTGTTGAACCACCAAAGGGATGAAGAGACAGCAGGCAGTCAACTTCTTAAATATATTACAGAGGCAGACCTTATCAGAAACAACAGACACAACGTTCTAGAGACAGATAACGAAGAAATAGATACAAAAATCGTATATTTAATTAAACATTTTCTTAAATGCAGAGGAAAATAAATAGTTTAGCCGACACTGCTACAGTCTTTTGAAAGTAACTTAGTAAAATGATTCACAAATGAGTTATTATTTGATCACACCTCATCAAAAATAAAATAAAAAGAACGCTGATGTTAACCCTATAAACATGCGAACTTGTTTTCAGGCCGCTGGGGCAAAAAGGGGTAAATATTCATTCTGAAATCGATACTAGCACAGTTGGGAATTTGATATAGGGCGCAATGTTAAAATTAATTCATCAATCCACATAATTAGAATGTACGCTAAAATTCCTGTTTGTCATAATTGTAATATTTTATGTATTGTTATGAAACTTGAATTTCCGGGAATCGCGAAACCCTACCAAATTGACGATTACTAAAAATTTAATATCTCAAAAAACTGTTAAAGCGATTGATTTGTACTATAACAACATGACAAAAAGTATCGCAAAACATAGACATCCATTTTTATGATAAATGATAAGAAGGAAATAAAATATTATTTTTGGCGTTTACTTTTATTTATATAACATCTTGTGAGAGTATATAAAGAAATCAATTTCAAGTTATTAAACCAAGTAAATAGTAACAATTATATAACATCTTGTGTATATTATTGTAATAAAATCGATTTCAAGTTATTAAACCAAGTAAATACTAATAATTAATTAATTAACGGATATGCATTACATAAGTCTTCATCGCAAGATTTGCAATTTACCAAGCTTGTAAGGGGATCCATATATTCGCAAATATCAACGTTTTCGTAGATCCATCCACATCCTCTGGTTAATACTTCAGTTCCAGAAACTGTAAATAATAAATCACATCAATCACTACTGTTATAATCGAATTTTTATAGAGATTATTACTTATGCTGACAAAATCGACGCATTTTTGAACTGTAGCGACCCGGGCATCATTTTCTGGTAAAGGTACGATTTTGGCGCCGTTCAAATCACAATCTTGAATTGTCATTGAAACTTGTTCACCGTGGAAACAATCACTTTCCATAGATCCCATACACAACCAACATTTTAATGCACTACCTGAAAAAATGTTATTGTATTATTAAAAAGATAGAATTTAATTTTTTGATTTAAATTTTAATATGTTAATTGAACAATGATTTTTTTACCTGTTGTGATGGTGATCATCAATAAACAACTTAATAAAACAACTTTCATTTTTGTTGATTAATATTTTGTTGTGAAGTAAAACGAATCTTCTGAAACAATTGATGTTTGATGGAAATCGTTTTACTTTAAATACCTTGAGATTTATCTTATCTATATTTTGCATTAATTTGATCGATATCGATTGATATTCTATTAATATTTTTTTAAAATATTCTTATTGTTTATAGTTTTTTTTTATAAAATAAAAATTAAATTTTTGAGGTGGAAAAATTTCCTCCTGCGAATAAGGAGTCTAATATCGAAATGTTATATATTCAACCAATATTTTTTGTAATAATGAAAAATAGAATTGTAATTGTGATTAATCTGGAGGTTATTAATAAATATTGTTATAAATCACAATATGTGAATCATTTATTTAATTAGATATCAACATTCCTTTCTAATTTTAGTACATCTACGTTCAACAAAAATTTATTGTAGTCTAATAATTATATTTTGTTTACGCATTATCACAAAATGCTTCAGAATTTATATTAAAATCATGTTTGAAAAGAATTTTATTCTTTTCTTCGTTATATAACCTAAATAAATTTTAAAAACATAAGCGAGGCTATTTTTTGACCCCATCCAAGGTTAAATAAACAATTTTATATCATTTTGCTGTTACAAACATCACATACACAACACAGTGTAGTTCAACTTACCAAACAAGAAAGATGTACTATATTAAGAATTTATTCTGTGTTGTTCTTCTTCTAGTAACTATTCATGCTGGTAATAAAATTCAATTTCTGTGTATTATTAAAAATATTTTTAAATATTTTTTTTGTATTCTAGCATATTCTTTGAGTTGTTATTTGTGTATTGGTCCAGCAAATGGTGGATGTGCTAACGGAAATCTAAAAGATTTAGTTAAACAAAAATGTAATGGAGGACATTTATCAAATCTTCCCGACTTAAGACATGTGGCTATGGGAAATGAAATTGATATACCAGTTAAAGCTTCTTGTGTTCAATTAATTGCTACTGATCGAAGTAAATTTTAATCAAATTTATTCTAATATTTTGAAAATTAATTTCCAAAATTTACAGAAACTAATTTAACAGCTTACCAAAGAGGTTGCGCTTTTGTACCTCAGAAATGGAAAGTTTGCAAATTCGTAGAAAAGTTTGTTCGTGTTAAAAATTGCACCGAATGCCAAAGCGATTATTGCAATAAGAAGTCGTTGATGGAAGATGAGTTTTGATTACAACAATATGTTGTTTTCTTTCTATGCACTTTATTTCTTTTCTATTTTGCGTTATGTAACTGTAAAATTGAACTATATACACATAAGAGATTGTTTTTTAATTTTTGTCTAGAACAATTCAAAAATACAATTATCATTGTTTAATAAAAATAGAATCTTTATAGTCTCAGCTAATTTCTCATTAAATATAGTACCTGATTCGGGACAATTGATTGTAGTCGTTGTAGTCGCAGTTATTTGTATCTGAATATTAGCTACAAAACAAAAGATGACGTCGAACCGGATTTAAAGCAGTCAACATTAGAATGTTAAGGTAGTTCGTTATTTCCGAAGATTTTATGCAAACCCTCTTCCAAATTCTCTGCAACGACAGGGTGTTTCGCAGAAAAGATTTTTCGTTCAGAAAAATTACAAATTGCCTTAACCGAAACGAGTCCATTGTAGAGGAGGAAAAGCAAATCATAAGTCGGACTGCCATCTTTGACTTATGGCAAATGAGGTCGATTTACCAGATGCACACCAATGATTAGAGTTGTGGATAAACTTTACACTGGGGCTAGCCTTGGCGGAGACAATTGTTAAATCTTTCTACACCTTAGTTCTGGTGTGTCCAGCGTTTATACAGGTTTTATCAAGATAAAACATTTCTTGGCCTGGGTTGCTATGTTGTTGAATGATGATTTCTTCTAATGTCGGATAAAGTATAAAATAATTATACTAGGTTTACATACCTTAGGTAAAAGTTATAATTTTTTATAGATTTTTAGTTACAGAGGTTAGAAAATACGAAAACTGTAATTCCTTAACTTAACAAAAAATTAAAAATGCCTTATTTTACTTTTTCTCTTACAATTTGTTGGATCAGTTACTTTTATACATACAACAATAATTCCTTAACAAAAAAAATCTTTGTATTTATCTTGTAAAACCTTCAAATCTTGACGGAAGGGCTCACCGTACTTGTCACTCATTCTACTAAGACTTCAAAAAAAGTCCACATGCGAGTGAAGAAGATGTAGTTTCAGAGACATATCCACACCCATCCCCTGATAATCTCGCAATAAGTTTGTAATAATTTCTTGGTATCCTTCATCTTTTTAATCCTCAAAAATCCTTTAACTACATTTTTGAAGGACATTCATACATTTTTCTTTCAAAGACTTTTGGTATCCGTGGACTTACAAATATCCCTTCTGTTAGTTTTGATTCTGATATAGTTGGAAATATTTTTAGAAGATACTGAAAACCAGCACTTGTTTTTTCCATACCTTTCACAACATTTTTCATAAAGCCTCACTTAATATGTAGCGGAGGTAAGACTGTATTTTGTAGGTTTACCGACTGTGTTTCTTTTACATTTTTTGTCCTGGAATAAATTGATTCCGAACAAGCCCCACTTGTTTGGACGAAATGTTGTTTTCTAGCACGGCTATCCCAAAAACACCGAAAACAGGTGTATACGTCTTTTATGTCATAGCATTTAATTTAATTCGTCTTTTATCAATTTAATTAGAACAGACATCGTATCAAAAGTTTTCTTTACTTTTAATCACGTCTGTAGAATGCCAAATAATAGACTGCCGAAAATTGTGGTTTCAAAAATAGCAAAATTGTGGTCGGAACCAGATCACCTGGCAAACCACCATAGAGATAAGGAGACACCTATCAGTCAACTTCATAAGAGACATTTCAGAGCATAAAACAGTTGTCATTATCTATGATTTCTTTTAATGATCGCATTGATTGGTTGCAGAAAATTATTGTAAAATTGTGCTTCATCCTATCAACATGAATTTCCAGAAATCGCTTAACCTTAGAATTTGAAGAAAATTTTTCAACTATCCAATTGTATAAAATTGAAGATTACTTAAAATCTGAACCTCAAGTTAGTGTACGAAGTGTAAATTAGTTAAAAAAAACTGATAAAGCGAGTGACTACTGTTTCTGGTGCTTCATAACGTTGGAAGCGACCGAGTTTAATTAGCTTGAATAATTTCATTTGAATATAAATAACATCGTTTATTAGGTTTGATGTTATAGCGTTTTTTGTGAATCGTAATAACAACATGACAAAAAGTATTGCAAAACATAAATACAAAATTGTTAAATAGGAAATAAAATATTATTCTTGGCGTTTACTTTTATTTATATAACATCTCAAATTATTACACCATGTTAATAGTAATGATTAATTAATTAACGGATATGCATTACATAAGTTTTCGTCGCAAGATTTGCAATTTACCAAGCTCGTAACAGAATCCATATATTTGCAAATATCAACGTTTTCGTAGATCCATCCACATCCTCTGGTTAATACTTCAGTTCCAGAAACTGTAAATAATAAATCACCACGATCACTATACTGTTAATCGAATTTTGTTATACATTATTACTTATAATTAAAGACAGATTTGCACTTTAACAATGGAAATTTTTTTATTATTCTGCTTTAATAGCAACAAAAAGAATAATAAAAAAAAATTTCCATTGTTAAAGTGCAAATCTCTCTTTAATTTTAACCAATACAATGGTAAGCAAGGAGATTCTAAATATTATTACTTATGCTGACAAAATCGACGCATTTTTGAACTGTAGCGACCTGGGCATCTTTTTCCGGTAAAGGTGCGTTTTTGGCGCCATTCAAATCACAATCTTGAATTGTCATTGAAACTTGTTCACCGCGGAAGCAATCACTTTCCATAGATCCCATACACATCCAACATTTTAATGCACTACCTGAAACAATATCATTATGATATTGAAAAGATAGAATTTAATTTTTTGATTAAAATTTTAACTAAGCCGTTTTTGTTTACCTGTTGTGATGGTGATCATCAATAAACAACTTACTAAAAGAACTTTCATGTTTGTTGATTAATATTTTGTTGTGAAATAAACGAATCGTGTGAATCTATTAATGTTTGAAGAAAATCGTTTTACTTTAAATACCTTGAGATTTATCTTATCTGTTTTGCATTAATTTGATCGATATCGATTTATATTATACATATTATTATTTAAAAATAAAATTGTGATTAATCCCATTATAGAAATGACTTTATTTTGATATAGGGTTATCAATAAATATTGTTATAAATCATAAGATGTGAATCATTTATTAAATTGAAATTAAACAAAAATTTATAGCAGTTGTATAATTATATTTTGTTTACGCATTATCATACAATAATTAAGAATTTATATTAAAATTATGTTTAAAAAGAACTTTATTCTTTACTTTGTTATATAACTTTGTTATTTTTTGATCCCATCCAAGGTTAATAGACAATTTTATATCATTGTCATGTTACAAACATCACATACACTGCACAACACAGTGTAGTTCAACTTACCAAACAAGAAAGATGTACTATATCAAGAATTTATTCTCTGTTATTCTTTTTATAGCAACTATTCAAGCTGGTAATTACCTTCAATTTCAGTGTATTATTAAAAATAGTTTTAAATATTTTTTTTTGTATTCCAGCATATTCTTTGAGTTGTTATTTGTGTATTGGCCCAGCAAATGGTGGATGTGCTACCGGAAATCTAAAAGATTTAGTTAAACAAAAATGTAATGCCGGACATTTATCAAATCTTCCCGACTTAAGACATGTGGCTTTAGGAAATGAAATTGATGTACCAGTTAAAGCTTCTTGTGTTCAATTAATTGCTACTGATCCAAGTAAATTTTAATCAAATTTATTCTAATATTTTGAAAATTAATTTCCAAATTTTACAGAAACAAATGTAACAGCTTACCAAAGAGGTTGCGCTTTTGTACCTCAGAAATGGAAAGTTTGTAAATTCGTAGAAAAGTTTATTCGCGTTCAAAATTGCACGGAATGCCAAAGTGATAATTGCAATAACAAGTCGTTGATGGAACATGAGTTTTGATTACTTTATAATAATATGTTGTTTTCTTTTTATGCACTTTATTTCCTTTTTATTTTGCGTTATGCAACTGTAAAATTGGACTGTTTAGACATAAAACATTTTTTTTTTTATTTTTATCTGAAACAATTCAAAAATACAATTATCATTGTTTAATAAAAATAGGATTTTCGCAGTCTCAGCTAGTTTCTCATTAAATATAGTACCTGATTCGGGACAATGGATTGTAGTCGTTATTCATTTGCAATTATTTGTACCTGAATATTTGCACCCAAACTAAAGCCGACGTCGAACCGGATTTCAAGCACTCAACATTTCAATGTCAAGAGAGTTCGCTATTTCCGAAGATGTGCAAACCCTCTTTCAAATTCTCTGAAACGAACAGGGTATTCCACATGGGATTTCTATTTAATCTTTCAAAATGGTACACAACAATACTTTATTTAAAGTTTATTTATTTGGATATTAATTAAATTGACTAGGAATATTTTTCATCTTGGTATATTTGGGATTTGATAGAAAAATATGTCTCAATAAACTTTTGTTTCTATTTGTTTATGTGACTTTATATTCTTCCGCGGATGTCACCATTTGTATCTACTTTTCCGACTTTACTGTCGACAATAAACGGGTTGACTGGTTTCCGAAACGTGTCAGTCAGACGAAGACGTGTATTTACAGCGACCTTTTATCGTTTCGGCCATTTACCTTCGCTTTTCATTTAGCATTTCGTGCTTTTTTCTTTATTGGGATCTCGCATCCACCTTCGTCTTCCCAGATTACATCAGCAGGGTTTTTACGAGTCTGTCACCGTTACCTAAAATTATCCTTTTTTTTCTGATCTACCCAACGATTCGGTTTCCGAACGGAAATCTATTCTGGTAATGGAAATTTAACTGAATTATTCGGGTTTCATTACGGTTAGTGCATCATAACGTTGATTTAGAGATACAATACAGAGTATTCTAGACAGGATTTGTATATTCATGTTTTAGATTTATTTGTGAAATTCTAATGACTTAACTTAGATCATTATTCAGTAGTAAAATCGTAATTAGTAATAATTAATTCAGGATCGTTTCTCAGAACTGAAAGAAAACGTTCTTGTATAGCAGAAGAATTTGAAAGGAGTCATATTCCTAGATTAACTCCGTAGTATTAAATATAAATATGTTCTTTAAACAAAAAATATTTGAGCAAACAACAGTTCGAATGTGTAAGGTAGGTTACTGATTGCTTGTCTATTTTGTTTGTAACTAACTATGGCTGTTGTAAAGAGTTGTTTACTATTATTTTATGTTTTTGGTTGAAACTCAACAGGTTAAAGGTTAAGGACTACGTCGGAAAATCGAATCTTCATTATCATTCAGAAAAATAAGTGGAAATAAAATAAATTAAATTAACACTAGGTAGTACAAATGAGTTGTACATTCTCTAAGTTCTTATTCTTAGCGTGTGTCATCTTCCAGTAATCAGACCTGCATCATTTTGTGTACTTTCGTATTATGCCTAACTCCCAATCTGGAGGACCAGGGACTATTCTGTCGGGGTTACCACACCTTACCCAGGTGCCCTGTTTTACGGCGCCGGAGCACCCTTTCGTCGAGTTTGCAGTTTGCAGTCATATCTGCTCGGGGTTGTAAGTATTTATTGGTAGCATCCGTACGTTTCCAACATCACCACTTACTCCTTCACTAGCAAGCTTTTTGAGCGGTTCCTTAAACCATTCTGTATCCTGAAAGCCAAATATATAAAAAAATTACAATTTCAATGCATCTAACTACCACCAATAAATATTTATTTGATAAAATCTTCTTTAACAGTGTTACTTTTCCAAATAGAACTGAAAAATATGATCTTACCAAGCAGCCGATAGCTATTTTAACTGCAAGTCAGAAAGCATGATTGATATGATGTTGAATAATTAACAAATCGTAAGTTTGAAAAGAGATCAGAGATATTTATATAACCTTCTCAAGCAAGAAATAACTCTAAAAGTCGCAATTTGAGTTTAGCGAATCAATGTTCGATCATCTTATTTATGTTCTACAATTGTATTTTATAAATAAAGTTTAGTTTAAACGAATAAATGTCTTTAACTTGATAATCGCTAAGAGACGCTCAACAGTTGTAAATTGTGTATTTTGTAAGCATGTCTTGAATATTGAAATCAATGTTTTTATTTCGATGGAGTCGCGGCGATGTAGTTTAAAAGTTAGATTGGGTGTAGCGTCTCCTTATTAAAAGAAACTTTTATATTACACCCTATCTGGGTAGCTGACAGCAGTTGATAAAGTTATATTGACTGTACTTTGATAGCAGGAAGTGTGTTGAACATTATTATTGAATTACATAATATGTTTATCAACTAGGAAAGATTTTTAGTAAGTATTTGCAATCGGGCTACTTTGGTGAGAATGTTCTACAATGGAACGCTGCTTTCATGCTTAAATAAGCTACACAATTTCGGTATTGTGACTGCACATTTTATCGAAAACAAAAAATCAATGTTTAATTATGTTAGTCCATCTTAACCGGGCTTCAAAAAGTACTATACCTCGAATAATCTACAGCGTGTCCCGTATCTTCCGCATCAGAGCATTATACGGTTGTAGAATACATTATTCTGAAGCGATCTTTCTAATAAATTTTTTTCGAAATGTTTATAATAACCGCACGGGAACTGTTTAACGACGACCAATAACGGACAACTTTGATTCATCGAAAAAGTTTATTTCTCTTTCCATGACGACACGTGGGAAACGAGTTATCATCGGCGTAGCGGACCGGCCGAGGGTGGCACCGATTACCTGAGTCTGATTTGCGATCTGCTGATTGGACGAAAAACAGTTCCTTTAAACAGTTCCCGTGCGGTTATTATAAACATTTCGAAAAAATTTTATTAGAAAGATCGCTTCAGAATAATGTATCCTACAACCGTATAATGCTCTGATGCGGAAGATACGGGACACGCTGTATATGTTGTAACTGTTTCCTCTTGTTTATATAACAAACCTTGAGATACTTATGTAGCAAAAACTAGAGTTTTGAACTAAAAAGAAGTTAAAAGAAGACTGTAGCTGGTTTGCACACTCTTCTGTACGTTTATCATCGTGTGATATACGTATTCAATCTGAGTTGGATACCTTATTTCTATATCGGATGTTTAAATCTTTGTAGAACAGTTTTCACATTGTTATTCGTAATGATGAGTGTTGAAGAAGCTTACTTATTAGTAGTCCTTCAGTCTTTTTTACTTTTATTACATTTTCTATTGGCTCAACATTTAGTTTCTAATGTATTTATAGTTATAGATTTCTTGGGATTCCTAGCTATACATAATTAAATTGAGAAACCACTAAGACTATGTAGATTAATGTATTCCATTAAACAACTAAATTCTTAAAACTAATTTACATATTGAAACAAGTAATATAAATTATTTAAAATTTTGTATAATTTTCTCGAATGTTAAGTTAATACTGTTTGATCGCTGTATTAATAAATTTACTTTTCTCCCCTTGATTCTCATTAGTTTTTTAACGTATCAACGAAAATTTTAAACCGTTGCCGTCGGCAAATCAAGTAAACACATTTCCTTAGAGCGCGAAAGCGTAAAATCAATTTTCTTCATAAAATTTACATGGGGCGTTCAGTTGGATGATGCATAATTTATTTATAGCAGGGAAAGAGGATGGGATGTCGCTCATCGAAAATGGTAGGGGTTGTTAAAAGGGGCGGTTACATTTTACAATTTTCCCGTGGGGGACGACAAAAACGACAAGGCGTTGAGACGTTTTGGGGGAAGACGTTAAGCGATGCAAAGTAAATGTTCCGAAGCCTGTTAATGTTAGATCGCATTACGTGGTTGCTTTTAAGTACTTTTGGTGGTATTGGGAATTTCCATTGGGTTTTGTCATATAAAAGTGTAAGTTGCACATTAAATTTTTTTCTATATATTTATTTCGGTTAAAGTTTTAGAGATAGTTTTAGTTTATAGTTTGAAACCAGATAGTTTATAGATGCAACTTTATTTGGTGGGTACACGTAGTAATCCATGTGAAAAAAGTTATTCGACGTAACAAAAGGAGGGTTACAACCTGTAATAACGTAACGTAATAAAATTCTTACAGCGCATTATGATTACGTTCGTCTTCCCGGAAGAGAAAAGTCGAAACGTCTGTATATGCGTACACGAAACCCCAAGTTTATGAGTTTTACGAGTGAACTGAACCTTTTAATAACAAACAGCAAAATGTGTCGTCTACGGAAAACTAAGGGCATAACCCGCTGCGGATTGCAATTACGTCTTTTACAACTTTTTGTGTTGTAAACGAAAAATTCTTAGTATAGAATAGAAATTAGTTTAAATACATCTATCTTATTGTAGTTTTTAGAAGGGAGGAAATGTCAAGAAATCATTTCAAAGTTTTTTTGTAACAAAAACACGTTCACACAGTTCAAATCGTTGAATATAATGGACCTTTCGACGTGATGTATCACTATGCTTTGTGGCAAAAACTGTTGGATAAGTTCATCTATCAAAGTCAATTTCGAATGAGAAAAAAAAAGTTATATTTTAGGCATGTGTGCGTGTAAAAACACATAGATATTTTTAACAAGTTTTAAAATATCCTAAACTAATCTAAATAATAGATAATATTTTTGGCTATTAATCCATAAATTTTGTACAAGTTTGATTTATCATTACTTCTGCATATAACAGTATCATTTGGTGAAAGTTGCACAAGTAAGAGCAGTACGGCTTCTTTGGCAGTCTTAAGTTCACTGAATCTCTGGAAAGTTATAACACGAAGTGCATGTGCAGCGCGGTTGCGATACATCTTTCGCTCGAGCTCTTCCAGGTGCAGAATTAATAGTTTGTTGGTTAAGAAACTATTAATTTGGTCTTAGTAATGAGTAAGCGAATATGGTAACTACAGGAGAATATAAAAGTTAATAAAGTTTTAATTAATAAATTAAATTAAAAGTTATTTAGAAGACTTTATTGGAAATAACTGTTTTATTTTTGTATTGATGGAATTGGTATGATTATTGTTTACTTTCTGGTAAATGATCTGATTCCGGTAAACTAATGTAATTTCATAATCTTCCATCAATTAGATGATGGAATATTACATTTTAAAAGAGTAGCGAAGTTAGAAAATACTACTTAATCTTCCGAATAATGTATAAAATCATTGCATAAAAAACATTTACATCTGCTCTAAACTGAATCTTCAAACCTGAAAATAATGCAACCGTTGCACTAAATGTCTATATCTAAATCCGCCAAAACCTGTCCCAAGACAGATTGAAAAAGGGTAAAAAAATTTGAGTTCATCTTGCTGATAACGTCTTGTTTCTCTTGTCAGGATACGGAGAAGTGGCTGTCAAAGGCTAGAAGTTGGAAATCGTGAGCAACAAGCTAAAAGTCACAGTAATTAGCCACGAAACTTACAATTAGATAAAACTTCAGAATGATATCTGCATCGATATAAGGA